GCAGGATAAAGACCGGTGATTGTTAGACTTGTCATCTTGGTTTCTTCTTCACCATCAAATGTCTTTTCCCCATCAAAGTCATATTCTTTTTCTCCAAAATACTTGATCTGCAGTAAAATGTTATATATTATATTTATACTTATAAAAAAGTAATAATGCTATATTAATGTTGCAATCCAATAATGCTATGTTGCTTAAAATGTAACAGGCTATATAAAATGTATTGAATCACTCGTGTTCACGGAAACACGGAAAGTATCTTCTAATTCTTCTAAAAAAGCACTTCGAAATAGAATACATGTATGCACTCTAACAAAAAATATTATAGACGAGGAATCTGGGCCAGGAAAAAGGGGTTCAGCTTTTCCTTTTCGGAGAAAATGGACGATAGTTTGCAACCACTCCTTCCATCAAATAAACTGGACAACTTAATGACATTTCTATTGTGGCAGCATTACTTCCGCCACCAGGAGCAAGTTGTTCGAAGGCTCCATAATGTTATCCATCCTGCGATGTATGGATATCATCTCTTTGATATTATTCCCCCCTGGTAGTGAAAGTTTTATCACCCAATCGTGTAAACGGCCCACTGAATTACCGTGTACTTTAGAACTGGCTTTGAAAGTGGTTGAGGTTCAAGCCAAGTCAGCCTGACTGAATTTTTACCAATATTTTCTGTTTTAAGCTCCCTTGAAGGTCCTGGAACTGAAATTACAAAAAGAGGCATAATCACATTAACGACAAAAATTATCAACTGAAAAACGCAGAGAGAAGAGTGAATGGGCTTTCCTTTTTATTGGAATCAAATCTATGAATTGGACAAATGGAAATCAATAATATTTATCTAAAGAATGAGATGGAACTTTGATACCTGATTTAATCGAGATGAAAATGTCACTGAAAAAGTTGTTTTAATTTACAGGGTTTGTAAATAATAAGTACATATACTGTAAATACACTGTAAATTCAATTTACATACAAAATGTCCTTTTACGAAGTTTGGAAATTTTATGTACATTCTGTAAATATCTTGTAAATTTTGTTCATCGATCAAACATTGGAAATATCCTGTAAAATCAATAATAAAAGTTTGTAAAAAAGGACCTTTTGTACGAAAATCAAATAATTTACTGTAAATTTTATCAACTATTCCAGTGTCTTATTCGTTTCTAAATACGACGGCCCCAAAAGACTTTTTATTATTAAAATAATAATTACGGCTACCTGATGTTTCTAAAGTAAAGTCTTCGGTTAATTTTCCATGTCCTTTGTCTGTATAGGCACGCACACTCAAATTAAACTTAGCGCATTGAGGGAGATTATGAAGAACATGACTACATCGATGTCTTGCGGATCCTCGACAGGCTACTTCGGGGCAAGTTACGTTTATAAACGTTTGAAGATTCGATAGTCTAGCAGTACTGTTAAACCGAAGTACTGATAATTCATAAACGAGGATGCGACCTTCGGTTGACGGTATTGGCAACCATGAAATGTTGAAAGTCGATGTGTTGTGCTCGTGTGACTTCAAACCAGAAGGCACATTCATAGGAGCTGCAAGACAAAAGATTCCTTTATCACGAGGGCAGTGCACAGGCAGCCGAGTTGACTAAAATACATACACAATATAAGAGTTTTTGATCGAACGGAAAATTTAGAATATACCTAGGATAAAACGTTCACCAGAAATGTCAATCAATACTCAAATGTTAATCAAATACTTATGCCATCTTCATAGAGAACGTTTGAGAAACCTTTGTCATAGGATTTCATCCTTTGAGAGCTGTTGTTTATTTCTTCATTTAGAAAACCTTACTCTTTATTACCCTGGCTTTATACTTTATGAATGCAGATATTGTAAGAATGAACTGAGCCTTAAACCGATGGATGAAAATAGAATTTGCTATATATGAAAAATCTATAACACGACCACATTGAATGCTGGTAGACCATGGCCCTTTTAAATGAGCCTAAATTGTTTGGTCTCGAGTGCAAACATCAGAATATTTGGAATCAAACTGAACCTACCATAAGTATTTGTTGTCACATCTTTCTTTGCCTTTTCACCATCCGAAACAGTACGAGCCCAAACATTGATAACATAGTTGACTCCGCCACATACATTCAAGATGGTTGTTGTTTTGTTGTCATTCAAAGTGTTATCGACCACATTCATTCCATCTGCCTTGTAAGAAACACTGTATTTTCTTATGTATTTTCCATTCAAAGGTGAAGGAACGTCCCAAGATACTCTAAGTCGAGGTCCAAATGAACCATCTGGCGCAATATCTACGGTTTCTATATTTAGAGGCTTTGAAGGTGCTAAGGATGAGAATTAAAACAGGAAAAAGATACAAAGTCAGGAATGTCCTTGTTACACATTAAAAATGCCATCTTTCTTTATAAATTTTTTTAAAGACTAGTTTGTAGCCCGCAAGGCACGTGATCTTGACGTATTATCACAGGTAATCCACATTTCAAAGCCCGCGCAAGTACAACATAAAGAAAGCGCGCGCTCTTTCTTTTGTTTCCTACTTTTCCGTACATGAAAAGTAACAACAAAAATAAAATAAAAAAATATATTCTACATTCTCTCGAGGAATAGTTAGACAGCCTATGCTATGTCATCATTGCATATTGTTTCACCAAACGAAAACCGAAATTTCTAGATTCATAAAATACTTCTTTTTACTTACGTCCTTCGTCGGTCATCATTATAACGTCTTTTGAATAAGGTCCGTTTCCTTCAGACGTGTACGCCAGTATTTTGAAGGAATACTTGGTAAACATGTCCAGTTTATCGAAAACATGGGTAAGAGTACTGTTATTTCTCAGTTGCTTAGCTATTCGTGTAGGGCAGTCATTTATCTTACAATATGATATCCTAAATCCTTTAATGACACCGTTTCGTTTGCCAATTGCCGGCAAGCCCCATGTAAGGCGGATACTTGTAGAGCTGACAGCAGTTGCTTTGAAATTAGTTGGTGGTGCATCTGGCTCTAAAACAAATTGTCATTGTATTATTTAAGTTCTTTTTCTGAATTAAAATTATGGTAACGTTTACATTATTCCTTATATTCATGAGAGACGTTTCATTGTCATGCTAGTCTAGAAGTGAACCCTGATTCATCCTTGCGGAATTAAAAAAATATTTGAGTCGATAAAGCGAACTCAATGANCGGTACGCTCCTTTATAGGAAGACTTGGTGAACTATATCCTTTTTCGTTGCCAACTTCAACCTTTATGTAATAATCTGTCCACTTGCTTAGGCTCTGAATGTTATAAGAAGTGGTCTGGCCACCTCTGACAATTTTTGTCGTCCAAGCTCCCCCTTTTGAAGTTGAGAAGGAAATTCTAGATCCATTGGGTGGACATCTGATTCCAGCAGGAACCTATAAACCATTAAACACAGGTTCTTGTTATCAAAAAAATGTTTGGAAATAGGATTGAAAACAAAAATGTTATCAGACCAAGTCAAACATTGGTGGACTGATGGAACTGACATGAAATATGTTGTAAAAATACCTGCCATTTTACAAGGATACTTTGAGATGTTTTCTTCGTTACTGTAACATTGGATGGAGGTTTAGGCACTGTTTCAATGAAAACAAAAAAGAATAACCAATAAAAAAAGTATCAAAATTCAAATACAAAACATGTACAACTTACGTTCAGATTCTGTTCTAAAGTTCAAAGTTTTACTCCATGGTCCTTCACCGAGGGCACCTACAGCCTTGATAGACACATCATAGTACGTGCAAGCTAATAAACCAGTCACTTTATAGGTTATAAGAGTTTTTTTCACATTTACTGTATTTGTGCTTTCGTGGTTCCAGTACTTTATAAGAAATCGATCTACTGGTTGCGAATCCTTGATGTTCCCAGTCCAATTGATTTCCACCGAGTCGGTTAATTTATTAGAGACGGTTGTCAATGAGGGAGCTGATGGATAATCTGGATTAGATAAAAATATCATCACTGCATTGCATGCGGCAAAAGTTCTTGTAAATGAATGTATTCGTATTAAAACATTCAATCGGTGTCTCAAATAAGCATGAGTAGGAAACTGCCTGATTGAAAACATTGAGCTTAAGTTTATTGCAGTTCTACAAAAAGTATTGCAAATGCTATGGTAAGAAATCTGGTTCTGTAAAAGATTGACAAAGCTTGCATGTTTTCGCAATAATACAATATAAGGTTATTGAACAATATTTAGTACCCAAAACGATCACCCAAAACCATTATAAAGCTTTGTTCTCGTACTCACCAAGACGAATCTGGACCTCTGCACCTTGGATGGACTCTTTAGAATTGCTGTCCTTCGTATATCTTACTTTACAAACTATATTTCGTCTGCATATTACAAACTTTGCTTCTTTCGAGCACCTTCAATATAAAACATTTGAGTTTAGCAGTGAACAAAATGATTCACAAAATATCTGCTGAATGATGACACCACCAACTGTTGACACTAACAACTGATGACATCGACAACTGGCGTCATCATGGTTTCATCACAACCATCTTTCCTCGATAAATGCTTACCGAGTATTTGCTAACACTTCAGCAGCACTGGTGTAGTTTACAAGCAGTGAAGATTTGGTTGACGTTGCATCACGCTCAATACCACCTGAGAGATGTGTTGCAACTTTACCATCAGAGAGCCATTCAATGGACTGTACTAAGGGTTCTTGTACCTTGCAAGTCAAAGTAACATGGCTACCACTTGATGCTGTAAGGTTTTTATTTGACAATTCTGATATTTTCAGGGTCGAAGCTGAAAACGAAAAACAACTTTGTATTAAATATCAACGGAATAAAATCTAGAGTAGAGTGATCGCACTTAAACCGTGCAACTGTACAAAATCTAAGTAGTACTAATTTGTACTAAAAGTGGACCTGAAGCAAGGTATTGAATGCGTCATTTGTATCAATTCAATTTGATTTGCGTAGAGTGATCGCACTTAAACCGTGCAACTGTACAAAATCTAAGTAGTACTAATTTGTACTAAAAGTGGACCTGAAGCAAGACGGTATTGAATGCTTCATTTGTATCAATTCAAATTTAATTTGCGTACCGCATGCATGATTTACTAAATACAACTAAATGGCACTATTTAGTTTGTACATCTGCACTGTTTAAGTGCGATCACTCAACAAACACTAAAACTGTGCAACATAAATACCACTAAATACTGTTCAATTATGCTAATTCTATTGTTTTCTATTGTTTGATTAGTACTATTTTGTAGTAAACAGTGCAAAGTGCATGCTTTTAGTGTTTGTACTCTACTCGTTACAATTATTCATATTAATTTATTATTAATTATACAATTATCAATTCTTCTTGGGTGTTATCACATTGATCATGCAAGAAAAATTAGTTATCGAGACTGAGCAATATACTACGAAATTTGTATGGTCAGTTAGAGCTTAACTTCGCGTAAAGCAAGACAAGGTGATAACTCCATAGGAAATTGTCTTGAAAGTATGAAAATAAAGTTTCTTTTTGAAATACAATTTACAGATAATATGACATGAACATAAGTAGTTAACTCACGCGATGAACATCCAAACAGTTCTAGTCTCATACATATATCACTATTCCAGGTCTGGGGATGAACTTTGATGTTTCTGACTGTGGTTGGACGATTCAACCATCTAACAACAATGCCACTCTTGTTAGAATTGCCCTGAAAAACCTAGAGAGAACAAAATCGTTTTAATTGATGAAACAAAAACAAAAAATGGCAAATTTTAGCCATGACATAGATATTCTAGATATTCGTTCTGATATATTCGACTTTAACTTTGTTTTTCTATTAAAAAAATATAGAAATAAAATTTAAAACCGTGTCATCAGTATTCGAAAAGTAACACAGGTAGCCCAAGCACTGGATTTGGCAGTGAAAAACGAAAAGTTCGATAAAAGTGGTAAAACTGAATACAATTATTTCAAACTACAACATAGTGTTCTTCTTATTTTTCTCAACATCCCTGTGAAGTTTCAGCTCATTATGGTAAACTTTCCCCTACTTATATATATTATATTATATAACTGTCATTTAGGTAATTCAGTTACAAATTTTGTTCCTTACAGCTTTATCATACGACAGAAAAATACAGTACAAGTTTTTTTTTTCATTATTAAACAGCACACAGATACCTTTGCATTATTTCCGCCCTCTTTGTAATCATTCCATTGAATTCCGTCAAAACTGTACTTAAGGATGTAAGTCTTCACCCATTTATCATCAGTGTGGTCACCCTGTGTAGCTATACCAGTCAGGGTAGCCATCTTCCCAAAGTCAATCTGTATGTACTCTGAGTTTGATGAGGTACTACTACACCATGACGCATCACCATAGAGACGTCCATCAGATGCATCATGGGAATTGTCTGATGATGATGATGCTGTTACCCCGATATTCCCCAAGTTGCCACCCTTTTCGAGACCAAATGGTTTCCCACATACTGAAAGAAATTGAATTTGTTTACAGATACTTCTGATGTTTTCTTTGGGGAAACCATGAGAGACTTAGAAAGAATCTCCATAGTTAAATGTTCTATTGATCCACTGATTGTGATCGTCTTTCAAGTACTCCAATGCCGTTTAGCCGCCATCAAAAACTATTTTCATTTTCATTATGTAACATCACGAGTATGACTTAATTCAAAATTCGCTATCGATAACAATTGCTAGTAATAGCCATTGGTGGAAACTAGCGGTAAGCTTGTGTGAGCTGCGTCGGTATTTCTAAAGAAACAGTTGTGAAAAAAGATAAATTTAACGCCGTAAAAAAATAGATAAAACAACTTACTGACGTTTCGGACGTTAATCCTTCGTCAAACGGCTTTAATCCTTCGCATCCTTTACTCAGACGAAGAATTAACGTCCGAAACGTCAGTAAGTTGTTTCATCTATTTTTTAACGGCGTTTTTAAAAATTTGTCTTTTGCTTGGATTTACTCGTTCAAAACAGATGGACTTTTTCTAGAGTATTCAGCTATTGTTTGGTAATTAAGCAATAAACAACACATCTTCGTGTGTACCTGGTAAAATAAACCACGCGGGAAAATACGAAAAGAGAATACGAAAAAGTCGTAAACAATCTAGAGATTTTCAGCCTTTTGAGTGTTTTCCCAGGAAAGCACGAAAATGTATTGTATATTGCTTTTATATTATAGCATTTTCGCATCCATGCTTTTACCGGTGAAATAAACAATAACATTTGACCAATCACAGAGCCCGTACTATGATAGCTATAGTATAAATAGTGGGTGTTTATGTGCAGTGCTGTTTACTATAAAGCGTCAAATATTCATTGTAAAACTAAGAATATTTAACAATTATTCGCCGAAGGCGAAGTGWTTATCAATGAATATTTACCGAGCGGCGATTCCGCGAGCCGCGAGGTAAATATTCATTGATAATCACTGAGCCTGAGGTGAATAATTGTTTTAGTATAATTTSATARKTGARTATTCAYAAAAATAGAGAAAAAAGAACTACTGCATTTTCGTAAAATGTTATGTGGCGGGGATTGAAGATGGCGGTCGAGGGCCGCTCGGATGACAGCAAGGTCGTCTTCTTGCAATAATTGCCATCTTTCTTCCTTATGGACACGTAAAACTTTGATAGACACTTGTTTAATTCACTTGTATCCATGTCTTCAAAGCTGACAGTGAATTCAGACTGTTGTTGAAACCATTCTGTCAAAAAATTTATCGAGTAAAATGTAAACAAACCAGGCGAAAACATACAAATTTCAGCCTGTTTGACGTAAAACGATAGATAAAAAAGTAGTTTTAGACAAGGTTTTTATTATCAAATAAACAAAAATTACCTGTAAAAAGTTTTAATACAATTTTTTTTAATCCAATTGTTTAATCCAACGACTCGCGGACGACGCCATTTTGCGAAAAAATCCAATATTCACCTATAGGTGAACATCGCTCATTGAAGCGTGAAATTCGACCAATCAGCGCGCTAGAATTATGATATTCACTTATGAAATTATACTAATTAAGCTTAACACAAAAGAACCTACCAACAGGTACACCGTACATTTCAACCCTCATAGCTGGATAGCCATAATAGTCTGTAGGGTAAAATCTTAGGAACTTAGTCTTGGTTGGAACTGTCAGGGTGTTTTTTACAACACCATCCTTGTTTGTATTCCCAGTAAAAATCTATAGAAAAGTGGCACGAAAAGAGCGATACGTTATAGCATGCTCTTTGATTGGATAATATA